TTCAAAGAGTGGAGTAATCACAAAGCTGCTAATTACCAGGCTTTAGAAATTAGTATAACTATAAATTCAGTCATCATGTGTACTTCATTACATGTGTAAAAACAAATGTAAGAAGGGGAAGGGGCAGGGGAAGACTCAGTATTTTTAAAAATTACTGACTTGGTATATATTAATGTTTAGATATTCAACTTGAGATAGACTAAAACCACCTGAGGTCTTGCAACAGATAAAAGTTTCCTTAAATATGACTTTATCACAAAGAGTTCATTGAAAAATAATTACTCCCTGGCCTATCAACTGTTTTTTCATTTCAGTGACTGAATGTTCCTTTGGAAAAATATGTCATTAAGTACATCAGTGAAAAATGCTGCCAATACTTTAGATGATGTGCAAAATGGTTCTCTGCAATAAAAGTATCTTCTAAAAACTGGGTGACATCAAGTGAGCAATGCTGTTGGGTTTTTCTGGTGCAACGCTGATTCTTTGTTTAGTAACATCCTTATTAGAAGAGGACATTTTATGAAACAGATCACTGAAAGTGTAAACATATTGAAGGGTGAGGTGTCTACATATCTCCAGATATCAGCAGACATCAGTATCAGGTGTGCCACAGTTTACATAGCCCATAGAAACGATACAGATGTTCAACAGTAAGCACTGCCTTTGTGTTAGACACCTTGGCTGAACCCATTTTCCCAGTTATTTGGATTTCAGAAGATGATGCTTTAGTTCTCTATTGGATCAGGGGTCTCACTACAGCATTACTTCACTAGGCTGGCTCGTGGTGGACTTTACAGTAACACAGGTTTGCATAGCTCAGATCTCAAAATGGATCCAGGAGCATTTTCTCATTCTGTTCACACCTCGCCCTACTGCAGTAACTAGTTGCTGCAGTTCATGAGACACACTCATTTCTGCACGTATTGCCATCATGTCGTTGGGCGTATCCAGGATGACATTTGCACACAAATGACTCTTCCACACATTCACGTTCACAGTCATGCTGACCTAAAGCACAGAAGTTTGCTTCTGTGGAGAGAAAAACAGTGAAGAATTCAAGCCAGCCATGAGGGTTTCTGAACTCACATGGCTTAGAAAAACTCACTTTTCTTAAATGATACTGGATTCTGTGCTTTGGACACCTGTTAAAGCTGACAGTGAGATGAGGATCTGAGAGTGGATTGCAAATACTTGGCTACACAAGACCTCACTTTGACTCCCACAGACCTGCTCCTGTAGTCATCAGAAGTCATGCATCGTGGTGAAGGAGGAATGCCTGGTGCTAGTCACCAGTGAAGCACCCTCCCCGATTTATAAAGAGGGCATATATGTAAATGTTCTGCTTTATTTTACAAGTTTATCTAACATGAGCCTTGTTATAACAAGATTTGGAGCTTAATCCCAGAAATGTCACCAGGTTTACAGCCAAATCCAAAGCCCCCTAACGTTAAGGAAAAATACCACAAATGGGAACTACAATTTGCCTTTAATTTGCATTTACATTCTTGGCAATAAATATTCTACACAGTGCTGTCCTTTTGCTCCTATATTCACCAAGTCACATCCAATCTATAAAAACCTGAATGTATTAAAATACCATATAGACAATAAAAACCAGAATAGCATGGATTGTTGTAAAAACGACATGTTGGAGACAAAGATGCTTCATGAGAATGCATCTTTAAGGCTGAAAGAAAATACAGCTCCAAAAACAGACAAATTTTATAAGTGTCTAGAAATATAATTATGTTGCTCCAGGGAAGCTTCTTATTCATAAAATATCAGCAGTACAACTCTCCCGCCCAAGAACTGAGTCACCAGATCAGGCTAGGTAATTTTGCTGAATACATTCTCCTTAAACTTTTAACAACATTACACTGAAAATCTGCTGTGGTTCCAGGCACCCACTCAAGAAGAGCTGTAGCAGGAAAGTCTTTTTAAAGTAAATAGTATGTGTGATTGGTTTAGAACACTGACATTGCTGAGGCTGTTTTTACTTTTTTTTTAGGAAACTGCAGGGTTTCATGTGTGGTTTTAAGTTGATTTTAATAGCTAAGTTACCTATCCAATACTTTCCCAAGCTAATGAAATACATCTGTCCTTGGCTAAACCAACTGGGCAAAGCAAGGTGATTTTTTTTTTTAAAGCTGTTTGTGTCACTACAAGACAAGTTATGAAAGTTTCAAATAAGTAATGAACTTTTCGTTTTTGAGCCACTCTGACACTACTCCTCAGGTTTCCATAAATCTCTTCAGAAAAGTCTAATACACAATCTAGACTACTAAACAGCAAACAGGATATTTTTCCAGTATGACTGGCTCAGTTAAAATTCAAGTTTATAAAGAAACATTTGTTTCAACCTTAATTACAGAGAAAACTTTCACCCTTTCAGAAGGGAAACCATTCGCAGCAGGTTTAAGAAATAAAAGCAGATGAACTTTATTATGTCCAAAGGATTACTCACTTCTGCATGTTTTCTTATCTGGATTAAGTCTAAACCCTTCTTGGCATCGACAAAAATAGGAATCATCTGTATTAACACATTCCTGTTCACAGCCATGGTCCTGAAGAGCACAATAGTCTGGTCCTAAACGGGAAAAAAATGTGTCAGTGAGGAATATAATTCCTCACAAATAAGCTAGGTAAAAATCAGCTAGGTTTTTTTTTCTTTCTTTAGCCATTTTTTTTTTTATAGGCACCATTCTGAATTTTTACCATATTGTTTCAAACTATGAAAATAAAATGGTCCTTCTTTGCCAAATACCCGCTATACTTATGTATACATGATATAAATACTTCAATGAATTCTACAAGAACATATGTACTATGCACAGTAGAGAAGTTAGAATCTTAAATATTTCTTAACATTTTGCAGCTAAGTCCTATACATTGCCTCATCAAACCTGTCTCTTTATTTTACTCAGAGCAAGTTAGATATGATCTGTAATAAATAAACATGGTTTTGAATGCCCTTCATTAGATCAAAGCAGGACAATCAGGTCATCAGGAGCACTAGTATTTCAATAGGTCTGGGTGTTTGCTACACGATTCTTCCATTTAAAATGCTCATGAAAGGGAAGACGAACAAAGTCTAGAAAAGCTAGTATTTGTGTATAAAGTACCTTAAAAAGGAAAGTAATTATGCAGTAAGATCTGGGATATTTACCACAAAGTGCTTACCACTATTGATGAAGTCAAAGAACCTGACATTCAGTTAGATGCAGTGTCTGGCCATTCACTTAGTTTTATATAATCTCTGGAAACATTATACATTTATAATCCCTGGAAACATTCAAGGTCAGGTTGGACAGGACTCTGGGCAACCTGATCTAGCTAAAGATGGCCCTGCTTACTGCAGGGGGGTTGGATGGGGCTTTTAAATGTCCCTTCCAACTCAAACCATTCTATTATTCTATGGTATCAGTGGAGTTTACTAATTAAGAATGCTAACAGAAGGCTTCCACCAGCTAAAGCTCATGAGAACCCACCCACAACTCAAACAGCAGTCTCCCCTAAAGAACATCAGTTGAGGCTCAGCACCCCTAAGTAGAAGCAGAAGCTACTATCCATCCTTTTGAGGGGAGCAGCAAGAGTGGCAAAAGTCCCCTTAACAGTTAATAGTTAACTTAGTAGTTAGGAATGACCTCTACCTGCCTCACTGATAATCTGAATTTGCTGCTCTCTTCCAGCCACACAAAGAGTACTCTGCTGGTGTTGGCAGGGTTGCCTTCATGAGCCGTGTTCCTTGTATTTCATTCTAAGAAGTCTGGAGTAATTCCCAGAGAAAACATTTGTCAGATATGCATGACTGTACTAATAACATTTACATTTTCAAGCTGTTCTTTGTAGCCATGAGCATGAAAGCTTACTTTCTATCTTTGAAAGGAAAGCCAGGATTCTGAGATAATCATGGGATCTTGGGAGCTGGCGCCCCAGGCCCAGGCCTGCTTGCTGATGCAGAGATCTGGTCTGGCATCGGTATGATTCTTGGCTAGTTGGTGATCATCCCTGAGATTCAGTATGTAAGCCAAATATGTAGAAATTTATGTTAAAGGTTTTTAATTTACAAACTTTTTAAATCCAGTGATCTGAAGTTTGTTTCTTCATGTTGTTTATGTTGACTCAAAGGCAGCAGGATTCATAACATACGGGAGCTAGGGGACACTTTTGCTCTGAAGAGCTCTCATGCTGTCTTGACTTTCACAGCATTAAGAGCTACACAGTTCTTTCATTCATCTTTATTTTATTATCAAGGCACAGAAGATGTCAAGTGTAAGGAAAAGTGGCTTAGTAAGTTTTACTTATGCATAGATTCAGGACATGCATCTTGAAAGACGATGACTTGACATAGTATTTGCTCATTCCTCCCTCACTACTCCTTCTGAATCAATCTCTACGGCCTACCACGTCCAGTCACACAATGGTGATTCTTCCCTAACTGAATCCTGATGGAATTTTCTTCTTTAATTTTAAACTAATTTAACGCATTTACAACAAAAGAGAATGCTGTTAACATGGCAGAGATGCACAGAGCTGTGAGATGCCTTGTCTGTGGCCTCTGCCCTTGGCTTGGGAGCTGCATTTAATGTCAGGCTCTCACCCTTGGTTCTTGCCTGAGCTGTTACAGGTACGCCTGTGCCTAGCCTTGCATTTTGCTGATCCTGACCTGCTGACTGCCTGACTTGATTTCCTGAATTGACCTTAGACCTCTCTTGACGCTATGGACTTGTCTGGTGATCACTGGACTGTTGGCTGAGCCTGGTTACTGTCATAGGACCTGTTTGTTCTCCTTCTTTGGGTACTGTGGGACCAAAGGCCTTGTCAGAGAGATTACTGACCCTGCTTGCTTTGTAGTCATTCTTGGCTCACAGCTTGCACTCCCTTGTAGAGCAGTGTACTTTTGTGTTATACATTAAAGATCTTCTCCATTCCACAGAGATCCAACATGAAACCATAGATGTGCCTGCCGAGAGTTTCTGGTCAAGATCAGAGGGGAAATGACACCGGGAATGTGGTGGTGGAGTCTGTTACCCCACCTGACCAAAAGGATGTAGTGAACTAGGCTTTCTACAAACAGCAGAAGTCTCCAACTTTTGTTCACATCAGAAATTTCAACCAGCCAAACACCTACAGGGAGGGTAAGACATTACTGTACAGACAACTCAGGAGGTTTCTGCACAGACTTGGTGACAACTCCCTACCATGAATTCTTGCAGGGTGATGTTCTTTTTGACTTGCTGCTGGGACCATGAGGTGACTGAGTTCACAATCCAGAATGCTGGGAGGGAAAACAGCAGAATTCAGACTCCATATTTTACAAGCTCAGGTTTCATCTTATTCAGGGAATTGCTAGGAAGAATCCCCTGGGAAGAGCCAAGAAGAGAATGGATGCCTTGGAGAGCTAGATGATTTTTAAAGAAAACTTGCTAAGAGCTCAGGAACAAATGACCCCATTGTACTGGAAAATCTGCTTAGAAGATCAAAGAGCTTCTCAGTGAACTACAACAAAAAGGGAAAATAGTAGAGGGAAAAAGAAGGACAAAGGAAAAAAAGAGGAGTATAAAAGCATTGCTTAGGTACTCTGGGACAAAACCAAAGCCCAGCTGGACTTATTGCTACTGAAGTACACTAAGTGTAACAATAAGGGAGTCTACAAATATGCTGGTAGCAAAAAGAAAGTAATAGAAAACATGGGGCTTTTGGCTGGGGGAACAACCTAGTGACAAACAATACAGAAATGTCTGAAAAAAAAGGATGCCCTTTTTATCCCTGGTTCTCACAGACAAAGCCTGCTGCCATATTTCCAAGTGTACCAGCACAGTTCGGGAAGGAGAAGGGCTAGCAACATCAGTTAGAGACTACTTGGAGAAAGTGGATATACACAGATCCATGGGAGAACTGGTATTTGCCTGTGGGTGCTGAAAGAGCTAGGTGATGTGACACCACTGTCTATCACATATGAAGATTCACAGGGACCAAGAGAGGTCCCTGATAACTGAAAAATGCTAATGTCATACTCATCTTTAAAAAAAGGCAAGAAGAATGACCCAGGGAACTATAGACCAATCTGCATAATTTCAGTCCCCGGATCATGGGGCACATCCTCTCAGAATCAATTTCCAAACACATGAAGAACAAGAAGATTAACAGGAATACTCAATATGGATTTACCAAGGGCAAACGATGCCTGACCAACCCATTCACCTTCAATGATGAAATGGCTGCATCTGTGGACAGGGGAAGATTGGTAGATGTAATACACCTTGGCACTAGTAAAGCTCTTGATGCTACCTCCCACAGCATTCTCATTTGTAAGCTGAGGAAGTATAGGTTGGAAGAAAGAACTGTTAAGTAGGGTGAAAATTTGCCAGGCCACCAGCCTCAAAGGACAGTGATCAATGGCTTCATGTCTGGCTGGTTGCTGATAATGACCAGAGTACCACAGGGGACAGTACTGGGGGTCACATTGCTAAACATTTTCATCAGTGACATAGATGATGACACAAAGCACACTTTCAGTAAATCTGTGGGTGACACTAAATTAGGGACAGTGACTGAAAGCAAATAGTGGAACTTCAATACAGAGGAACCCCAATAAATTTGAAATTGGACCAGAAAATGTCTTATGAAGTTCAGCAAGAATTACAAAGTTCTGCACTTGGGTTGGAAACACTCCATAGTCCGTAAACACTGGGAAGGGACCTGCTGTCAGGGAGCAGCATGGGCCAGCTGCTCCCTCAGGAAAGGAGAGCCAGGAGCCAAGGTCGATAATACAGCTGAGAAGGGCAGCGGCTTTGCCAGAAAGGCATTGCCCTGCAGTACCCAAGATGGGTGAGCAGGGTAGGCCTGGAAACGGTAGCCAGGCTTAACCAGAAGTCCAGATCATCAGACAAGTACATGCTGCTGAGACAAGTACATGCTGCTGAGGCAGGTCTGAGGTCAAGCCAGGAAGCAAGCCTGCATGTCAGGATGAGGTGAGGCCGCTCCTGGCAAGGGCAGCCAGGGTCCGACACAGCCCAGTAATCGCTGGGCAGGTTCATAGTGGCAAGGCCATGGTCACGCTGGGAAGTCAGTCTGCAGGTCAGGTTCTTGATCAACAAGGGCTATTGGCAGACCCAGCTGGAAACTGCACTTGACATACTTTGTCCAGTTCTGGAACAATAACTTGCCTTCTCCCCCCAGTTAAAGGGAATAAACTGAAGAGGGCTCAACAGAGACCTACTGCTGGGACATAGTGTACCTCACATGACTTGTGCAGAGAACTTGAGGAATCTGGTCTTACCGAGTTTGGTGAAAAGGAAGGTATCTAACTTCGGCCTACAATTACTTCTTGTAGGTCATCACAAAGGTCATGGAGCTAAACCCTTCTTGGTAGCACCAGATGATGTAACAAGCAACAATGGTCACCACCTGTGGCTTGAGAGATTCATATTGGACATGAGGAAAATGTTTTTCACTAGAGGGATAGTACAGCAGTGGAACAGGTTGCCCAGAGAGATTGTGGACTCAACCAGACAAAACCATAGCTGACTTGATCCACAGTTCGTGACAGTTCCACTCTGAAAAGGAGGCTTGAGTAGATGACTTCCAGAGATCCTGTCCAACTAGCATTTGAAAGCTTTCATGTTTCAAACATAAAGACAGCAGCACATGGTCAGTCCATATAGCCCAATGGGCTGTCTCAAGCAATAGATACCAAAGGCAGAGGATAGAGACAGGACAACCCTGTAATACTACTTTCCCAGAATACTCTCTGAGCTTCAAGCATTCTGCGGATCATCAATTTAAACAGGTTAAAATAACTTACAGTTAGACCATAAGCTAAAAACCACTCAAGATGTACAAAATGTTTATGCAGTTTTAAGGTCTTTGTTCAGTTCAAACTCGGGGAGAAAACACTGCTTAAAATCCACATTCTTAAATTGATGGAATTAACAAAAATTTGTGCTTGGGCAGTGGAAAGCGCTTACACTACAGTAAGATTTCAAAAATATACGGATGTGGAAGTATAAGAGAATTCAGCCAGCCCTTGACAGATACTTGACAAATGGGTGAGTTCATACAATCTATAAGCAACATGAACCAGTACAAACTGTACTCTGGCCCTTGAGGAGGCAGGAAATGCATCTCCCCTGACTCTGACTATCTAAAAATTAGGTGTCTAGTCTGGCAAGTCATCCAGGCTCCCTGCATAGTCAAGGAAAATACAGGCACTTCCACAAATTTGTGTCGGAACTGTGAGCAATCACCTTCTAGAAATGTGTGTCTCTGTCCTTTGATCATAAGGTCAGATGTACAGCCTGGATTAGATGCTTTCTTAAGTAAAATAGATACCAAGCATAATACACAATACAGTCTGTAGGTTAACATGGTCTCTCATCATAAAGACTGAAATGCCCCCAAGGCTGTAAAAAGCACAGAAATGCAGTGCTACATCGATGCATTTTTTGCGAAGTAATCTTTGAACACATTATTCAATAATACAGGCTAAATTCACCACTAGCATCAGCAGTTCCACTCACATAAAACTCATGGAGTTTGTCAGCTTACAGACACAATAGTAACATTTCTTTATCAAGGCCCATATTTATGAAGAAAGGTAACTAGGAAGGTACATTAAGGTTTTTCCTTCACATTTCCTGAAAGTGAGTTATGACATTAAACACTGTGGAGGTTTTATCTTGTTTTCCCAATTATGGGAACCATGGGCAAGAGTACTTTCTGGTCTGTCAGTTCCCCTCTGCTTTATATCCACTCCTAACTCTTGTAATTTTTGAGCTTGTTAGCAAGGTATCAATCAAATTTGACAAACAAGCAAAGCCATGAAGTTATTATAACCCGGTGGAAACATGGAAGCTTGGTAGAAGATACTGATGTTGCCAGAGATTTTGCACACTATCAAAGAACTCTTGAGAAACATACATAGGAAAACAGGTTGCCATGTTTTCTCTGACAGTGGAACTACTCTGTTTAATTTTAGCTTGTCTTACAAACCAAGCTGATTATAAATTGTCTTGTATAGACTTGTTTGTTTACCCAGCTAGGGAGATGATATTCTAACTGAAAAATCTGGATAATCAAAAAGACTATGCAAGACAAACCTTTGGGTATTTGCTGTTAAAAAGGAGCCTGGTTTCATGTTAAAAGTTTCCTGTTCCTAGAAGGGACCCCTGCCTTTAGCCCCTCCCCCAAAAAGCTAAACTAGCCCCCAAAATAACTTGCATTTATTTCAAGACCTTTGGCTTCCAGGGCCCTCCAACATTTTCTATACCTGACACATTATTCAGTGTTCCCAGGACCAGTGGGAGTATTGCTGCTGAGAACTGGGAGACAAAAGAATAAACTGTTCATAATTAAACCTGATCACAACTTACTTCTGCAAGTTCTTTTGTCTGGATTTAAAATGAACCCTGGGTGGCATCTACAGTAATAGGAGTCCTCAGTGTTAACACATTCGTGTTGGCAAGCTTGGTTATCCAAAGCACAGTAGTCTACAACTGAAAAAGAATAAGACCAACATGTACAATTAGGAAAAAAAAACTAGAACTATTATGCATAGATATTACGGTACTAGTTACACACAGTAGCTATAAAAGGAAAAGCTGACATGATTTCTGTCCTGAAGAGCTTTTCTGCAAAAAGTAGTGCACTTTCAATATCAGTTAGTAATTAGATTGGATATGCATCCTGGATCATTTCTCCTACCCTTTGAACATTTAGCAGCTCTTGGATTGTCAGGAGACTTTTCAACATGTTTTCTCAGATCTGGAAACCATGGTTCAGTCAGTAACTCTGTCCAGATGTTCACACTGTAGACCAGGGTGTAGCAAAGTTTGTTTGATTTAGTTCTGTCTTCTGTCTCCCCAGTCCCTGTCCTGGAATTGCTCTACTTTTCCTTAGTTCCCTCCCAGATGTATTAGTTCTCAAGAGTTGCTCCGGTAGCCTGAATACACAGGAGACCCATGACAATACCTTTTACATCGAGGACTGTCACAGTACATTCATTACCTCTAATGTGCTCCAGAATCATCCCGTACAAAGCAGCTGCAGCTATGAAGCCTGAGAGCTCCAGGCTGACATTCACCATTGATATTTTGCTTATATATTGCCTTTTGTATGAAAAAAAAAATAAATCATGGCTAGTCCAGTCACTTATTTCATAAGTCCAGTCATTTATTACACAAACCCAAACTTACAAGATAGATTGCTAAAGGGTGATAATAGGGCAATACTTTAGTGTTTACTCAGTCAAGCCCATTCAAAAGTGCTAAAGAAGTTACATGATTCTTTAAATTTTATTTCTTTGCAGGTTAAGATGTTTTTTTCACAAAGAAAGTCTTAGAAGAAATTAAAGATAAGTCACAAAGCAGGTGTTATGTCCCCACGGAGCTGCCAGGCTGACACTAGGAAAGTTCACCTGATTCTTTCTGCAGAAGATAGTAACGTGCTCAGCTTCACATGGACATTTAATGAGACAGGTTCCCCTTTGACAACTGAGTAATTTTTTCATTACTTTATACTGCTGAGCCTCCCAAATTGCTTTAAGAGGCAGTAATTTGTTTTAATGAAATCAGTTCCTTCTTCAATAGCCCTGCCTTTGCAAATCATGTGTATACTCAGGTGTGCTACGGTATTTAGTAAAGGTCATCTAGTCAGGAAAGTGGATAATATATTTAGTTATTTTGAAAGAGCTTCTTTTAACCCTTCAGAACATTTGTGTTGAATCAAGTCAAATTAGACTATTTACTGGCTACTATACGAGACCATTTTCCTGGCAAGCACCTTCCTGTTTCCAGACTGAATAACTTCATATAAAAAAGTATTTACTGAACATATATTTCAAGGATATAATGTGTCATACAATTAGTCAGCTTTCCTCTTAAATTAATTCTAACCACATGCACATTTTCAAGTGTTTTAAAAGACAGATTAAGAACTAAGTAGGCCAAAGAATATATACTTTTTTTCTATCTAGCATCATACCTGGAAAACAGCTCATATGGATCACTCCATAAAGTCATCTCCTCCTCTGCATTTAAACCTTAATGCAATGCATTTCTACCACGATACCTGCAAATGTCTGACAAATGATTATAAAGCTGAGAATAGAATAGAATAGAATAGAATAGAATAGAATAGAATAGAATAGAATAGCATAGCTCCAGTTGGAAGGGACCTACAACAATCATCTGTTCCAACTGCCTGACCACTTCAGGGCTGACCAAAAGTTACAGCATGTTGTAAAGGGCCTTGTCCAGCTGCCTCTCAAACACTGACAGGCCTGGGGCATCGACCACATCTCTAGGAGGCCTGTTCCAGTGTTTGACCACCCTCTCGTGAAGAAATGCTTCCTAATGTCCAGTCTGAACCTCCCCTGGCGCAGCTTTGAACCATTCCCATGTGTCCTGTCACTGGATACCAGGGAGAAGAGATCAGGTCTACTTCCCCTCCTCAGGAAGCTGCACAGAGCAATGAGGTCGCCCCTCAGCCTCCTTCTCTCCAAATCAGACGAGCCCAAAGTCCTCAGCCGCTCCTCACAGGACAATCCTTCCAGCCCTTTCACCAGCTTTGTTTGAGAGACTACTAAACAGGTCTTAGAATGCTTTATTGTCAACATCTGAGCAACTATGACCCTAAGCACTTTCAGATTACAGTCTCTTGAGGGAGGAACCGTGCCTTCTTATGGCTATGCAGCTGCTAATGTACTATGGACAGAAAAAAAACCCCACAAACAAAACAAAAGAAATAACTAATTTTTCCAGGCTTGTTTTTTTCCATTTATAGACTTCTGAGGACCTCTTCCTCACAGAATTAGGTCTCAGCCTGTAAGAATAATAAGCATACCAATTTAAATAATGCCTTTCCATTCACTAGTTAAGAAGTGAGAACATTCTCTTGACGGTTGCTTTCGGAGATAAGTATTATTCCCTTTTATTCCATAATTTTTGTATACAAATTGCCCTAATTCTAGGAAGGCTTAGCCTTGCAGACTGGGACTAGTAATTAACATACAAATTCATTTCACTTTTAGCTTCATGTTTCATTTTGGTGGTATTTGCTTAGAAGGAAAACTTGTCAACAGCATTCCAGTCAGCAAGTAGGTAAGTTGTCCATGGAGTTAAATCTTCCTGAAAAGACTGAGAAAAATTATAAATCTATATTCCTTATTTTGAAGTACTGTAATCCTTTAGTTGGTATGCAGAAAATACACAGTCTGTATAAATGCAAAGAAGAATATTTTCTTTTTTTTTTTTTAAGTTTTATTATTTCCATATTTCTGTACTGAGTCATGAGAAACAGACTAGAATGTGAACACTTAGAAATCTCACTGGTTTTAATGTTAGCCTGTTTCAGTATGAAACTTTTCTAAAGGATGAATTAATGACCTTTTTAGTAATCAAGCAATTAATTCAGTTGTCATGTCCCCATGTGTGTTCCACCCTGTTTTTCTTGCCTGAAATTAGTTGATAAGTGATAAGAGCCATCTTTTACTTCCAGTTACCTGTTCTGCACTCTCGGTGCTTACATTGCCTTCTCTGAACTGTGGACAGCGTGGGTCACCTTTCTCTTGGATTGTTGTTTTACTCCTATAATGTTTATATAGGTTATTCAGGCTTAGAAGAATGAAGTAAGTCAGGAGAAGGGTAGAAGAAAAGGGTAGGAAGAAAAGGCATCAGAATAACTATAGGCATAAGAAGGATGAAAAAGGACGTGGGGCAACAGTAGAGCTGACTCATGGAAGACTCATAAGAATCTAGAAAGCAGCCAAAAAAATCTAGCAGTGCCAGGACTGCAGAGAGGTGCCTGCAGCCAAACCAAGGCCAGGACAAGAGGTCTCAAGTCCAACAGCTGCAGCAATACAGAGACAGTCTAGCACCAGCGCCAGGAAAGAGAGGACAGCATGTCCAGCAACACCAAGACAGTGGAGAGACTGAGTGTCCAGCAGCATGATGTAGAAAGAATGGCTCATTACTGCCAAACTTTGACTGATGTGAAAGTAGGGCAGTTAACACGAAAAGCTGTTTAAAAAGGCAAAGTGATAGTGCTCTGCCAGCCATCACTGAGAATAAGTTTCAAATATTGCTCAGTCTACAAATTTGTTCATAAACTGTGTTGCAAACACTCAAGGCGGTTGGCCATTCAGTGGTCACTTTGAATGGATACGTTGTGTCCTGCTGGTTGTGAGATTTTATTTAATTATTGCCCTTCAGGTAACTTGCTGACATGTGTCAATAAAGCAATTAGTATTGCCTTTGATCCTTAACTACAGAAATTAGCCCATCAGAAAGGAGGAAGAGAACTTAATAAATCTTCCTGTGAATTTTTCTGCACTTTCTCATTTACTTTTGCTGCAGTTAAAATTTTAGAAGACTTAGATATCTTAGACAGAAACCTTTGGCTCTTAGAGAGAATGACCATGTGTTTGTCCTACATACAAATTTCATACAAGGATTCTCTCTTCATTCTCTGGATGAAGAAGAGAGAGTAACCTTAATGAAGTCACGGCTTTTTGCAAAATTGGTGTTGTAGTCAGTGGTCTCTGGTATCTGTGTACACCAAGATCTTCTGACCCTGCTCACTTGATATTAAATACTTCAGAAATAGTTAACTAGCTTAATAGTAATGAAAACTGAGAGTTATCACTACTAATTCAGTACTATACACAATCTCTTTTACAAGATTTTCCAGCAAAGATGATTATTCATTGGTGATCACGAAGCTGTACATTCTTGGTAGTAGCACATTCCTCAAAAACCTCAAATTGCTCAAATCTGAAAAGTCAAATTCTGGAGACTGACAGCTAATAGGATTTCCAGACAAATTAGAATAAAACCCACAAATTACCCAGACAATCTTTCCCTCTTCAGGAAATGTAGAGAGGCTAAGTTCTGTATGGGTAAAACGTAATTAATATACATTGAACTATTCATGTGCATCAGTAAGAAATGACAAAGTTAAATGGTCAATTAAATGCAAAAGAAAATTGAAAAATAGAAGTGCTAATAATGTGCTTTAAAATCATAATTAATACTGCTAATATTGCAGGGGTATAAATAGCATGAGTTCCTGTTTTTTTGCTAAACCAGGTATAAATGAATAAAAATCAAGTGGAGAGGAAAGACAGTTAAAATGTGCAAGATACCATAGTGAACCTGTGCATGAACTGTATTTTGAAAATAACTGAAAATAAGAATATGAAAGCTTTAAATGTCATCAACAGAGCTTATAATAGGCCTGTATCTCTCCATGCCAAAGAAAGTCAATGAGAAGGTAGGAAAAAGATGTTAAAGATGTATCACACCTTCAAACAGCACTCTTCAGAGAAATTATTAACAGGTAAAAAACAATAAGAAATTTAATAAATGGCACAGAAATATTTTGAAGCTTTTAATAAGAAAAACAGACTTTGTATTTATTATAGAGGATAATATTAGCTTTGACATACAAAGAATTTCACCAAAATTATTTCTATCCCTATGATGCTCTGGTAGCTACCTTCCCAATAAGATTATATTGGGCTGTAAAGGACCTTTCAACTTAACAGAGAGAAAATAGTTAACAACAGCTGATGACAGTAAGCATAAGTATTTGGGTTTAGAATATATAGTAGGAAAGAACTGGGGATAAAAGAACCTACCTACAGAAGTCACAAATTTTCTGTCTCAGGATACAGTCAAATCAATAGCAGAGAAATATATGCTTTATCCTAACACAAGTAAAGGTCATGAGGATTAGCTAAGGTTATGGGAGGAATTTCTGTGGAGTGTTAGATGTAGGAATTTGGGCCAGAACATCTAACAGGCCTTCTTGCCTAAATAGCCACTATTACCTGCATTTTCTAAACAATTCAACTTCAGAAAGCAGTTTCTTAAAATGGTATATTAGTGGACAAATTATGCTGAGGATAAATTATGTTGAGAAATTTAAACAGTCCTATACTGAGATCATGAAGCTACAGGTAAGGGAAACATTTCTGAAGAGTAAGTACAGAGTGAATGTTCTTCAAAACCACCCATGTTACCCGAGGTCTAAAAACACCTCAAAACCTCACTTGTATGTGCCATGTGGAATCACATGCAGAAAGTTCAGTTCCGTAAACTGTTATCTATTTTGCATTATCCTGCAAGGTAATAGCTCTATGAAGGTAGTAAGAGACAGATTATACTATGTTAAGAGTTGTTTAAAATGACAAGAAATAAAAAGAAAGAGTAAGCTGTTGGACAAAAGCATTGTGGTGGCCTGTGGCAGATTTGGGGCCAAGGATTCACTTGGATTCACTTCCATGGGATTTCAGCATGTGTTTGAAATTATGCATGCATTTAAGTGCTTGCCTGAAGAGAATGCCTAACAAATACGGCGATTTTTTTTCAAGGACTCTAGGGGTTTTTTTTGTGGTGGATATGAGAAGACAGTATTTTCCCAAAATGTAGCATGGGATGAAAAATTTGCAAGAAAGCTAAATGGTTGGTGAAAAAGATCATCCTAAAAATATTTACTGTGTATAAATGGGGAAGAAGAGTGAGATACTTATACGCTAAAGGAGAAGGAAGTATATTTTGTGTTAAAAAAATTATTATACTGTGTTTCCACATGCAGTCTTTGGAGTTATAATTCTTAGAGCTGATGTTTGTTTCTTTACTGCCCATGGCAAAAATCAAAGGCACATAGTGGATGGGTTCTTGAGGGGGGCTAAACTTTTTTTAATCCTCCCAGAAAGAGTTTGAAATCTCTGCTGGCATGACCATAAAACCAAGTGAGAAATGGCAATAAATTGTCCACTTGCAAGTTTTCCCATGTGTAACTTCAGTCTGAAGAGGAGCTACTGAGTTTGTCTGGCTTTGTTTTTTAATGGCCACATGTATCATGCCAGTACATTGCTGGCCACCTACATGGATCTATAAAATATCTGGTGTGTTGTTTCAAAACAGCAATGTTACTTTCTGTGTGAAATTATTTGGAACAATTTTCCCAAGTCACCATTCATTATCAGTAAAGGCCTACGAACATGCCAATATGTGTTCTTCCTTATCTACCACATATAGAAGAGAGCTTCCCATCATACTCCATGGCTAAACTGGATATTAATTTACACTGTATTTCCCTTTGGTTTGTGTCAAGAGATAAATGTGAATTGCTAAACTCATACTCACCAACACAATTCTTTCCATTTGCATCAAGCTCATACCCTTCATAACACTGACAGACGTAAGACCCAGGTGTGTTCACACAAATCTGCTCGCAGGCATGTCTTTCCACAGCACACAGGTCCTGAGCTACAAAACATAATTGCATGAATATTAAATTCTTTGACCTTCTATAATGTGCAGGTAGACTATAGCTCAAAAATAAATTTCAGGAAGGTATGAACAGCTCCTTAGAGATAAGCTTATTTCAACACAGATCACGCCAATGTTCTGTCAAAGAGTGAAAGTCTTATGCCAGCAGGAACAATCACTCAAAGCTGAGGAGCTCATTCCTTCAGGTGAAGGCAACAACTATTGATGGACCAATGGTGCCTAGTAGGGTTGCCTGACTGTGTTTCTCTAAAAAGTTCAAAGGGTATTCTTCAGGGGTTTTTTGGAAAAAAAAAAAAGAAGTGTTTATTTCTGTCTTTTTTTTTTCTTTTTTTTTGCATAACCCTCCCAGAAAATGATGGCAAGGTTGGAAAAGGAAAGAAAAGGAAAGCACAACACCAAAAGACTTGGGGGTATTTAATTTCTGAGTTCTATAATTTTTCAGTTTTGTGCAAAATACCATAGCAAATTACCCCTCCCAAGCAAAAGATCTCCTTAGAAAAACTACTACAACAAATGAGGTCAGTTCAGCACTTGGCTGAATGAAGCACATCGGGTTTTCTTTTCAATAGACTAAAGCTTTCTGAGAACCCCAAGTTTCCCCAATGATATCTTTGGAAAGCAGAGTACTTCGTGTTGCTGAGGATCAGGCCCAAAGACTGCTCAACACATAATGAGCATTTACAGCTACAAAAAAAGGCTTTTGGAACACGTTTGAAGAAACTAGCTAAGCAAATATGAATTTTCTTTTATAGCTGGCTGCTTCATATCAAGTGGGATGATGAACAGCATAAACAGTGGTTTAACTCTCTTGTTCAGTATAAACACGTACAAATAGATACTTTTTCAGCTTGTTGCAGCTACATTTCCTCTTTTCTTCTATTTTGTGTATTAATGTAAGATTTTAACATCTCTAGAGAAGAATGGAAGAGATTAAGTTAAACAAATACAGTGTAATGAGTAAAGAATAGCCATTATCTGACAGAACAACTCTTCTCTAGAAAAGTTAGACCAGAGTATGTGAAAGGAGCACCCTTTGCATGGATGACAAACTATCTTAAGATGGTTAAGAACATTTCAAGTTAAACAAAATTTTTTTTTTTTTTCCCTAGTTTTGTTCTGGAAGATAGCTGAGTTGCCTTCCCCCACCCATGTGGAAAGTGACAAATCACAAGCATGGCAGATGTTCTTCCTTCAATGTGAGAAACTAATATTTTTAGAAATAATGTTATAATTAAATGTATCAAGAAAGAAAACTATCATCTGTTCAAAACAGAAATTCACCCTTTTCCAGCCTGAAGCAAAGTTGTCAATTCATTGCTGACTGCATTTGGTTAAGGGCTTTTAAGAACTGGATACTGATATGGTGTACTCTCATAACATAAAAAAAAGGGAACAGAAGAATGAAAAAAGAGTGCAACTTTAGGTACAAAAGAATGAAAAGAGACTATAACTTCAGGTACATACCATTCATCTTTTCTGCATTGTTTAATTTAGAAAGTGTTAAAATATATACGTAAGGAAACTATTTGTTCATGAAAGCTGACAAATACACCCAAGCCTTAGATAAATATATCTGGTTTATGTTGATCATGTATTGCACTAAACATAAATATGATGAAGATTTATTTAACCTAGAGGTCAAGTGGGGAACATGTTGTTTCTGTGCACTTGTGGACAATCAACAGCCCATGAAAGTAACTAAAATGGTCACAGACTGGGGGCTTTTCTATCAGCATGATTCCCCTTACCTCCAGAAATAAGCTGTCCAGTTTGTCCAGGCTTGGTCCCCTTCCTCATGAATTCTGTTACTTCTCTGAGGAGTTTTTTGACATGATGGTCTGACCTTGTCTAGACCGCCTCCGTATCACGCCCTCCTTCACCAATGATTTGCACCACCCTAGCACATTTAAGGCCAGTTTAATGGCTCTCAATAGCAGATTTCCAGTGCTAATTGCCAAAATTAGTTTGTAGTTTGGTGATACAGAAAAAAGTCCATTAGAAATAGGCTACAAACACATCAAATGACTCATTTCTCTTTCATACTCAGCAAACTGCATTCTAGTATCATCTGAAAGACGATCAAAACAAGTACCCAGTCAAGCAAATCATGTGTGACAGGTAAGGGGATAACTAATATAAGACTGGGTCATAGCCAAAAAAAAAAAGTGAAGCAATGCAGCAATGGGCTTTGAAAAATGGTGGAGAGGGAACATATTGAGGGCTACTGTGCATGGGTCACCAGTAGGAAAACCACACACAATTCCAAAACTCTCTTGGAAATTAATCTGTAATTTGAAGCAGTGCAGTGCCCAAAAGCTGGACTGCTGGCTGATAAAAACTATGGAAATGTAACACAATAAAAAAAGAAGATGACGAAATAAAGATTTTTTTCATACTTGTAATCAAAAATTTTTAATTGACTCACAAAAAAAAAACAATTGCCAAAATTGATGTTAGGGCTGAGGATAGGGAAAATGTGCGAGAGGAAATTTAAAAAAAGAAATTTTTAATTTCAAATAATTTCCAGAAAATTGAAAGCAGAAAAATTCTTTCTTAAAAATTCTTTAAGAAAATGAACAGCATGAGAAGGTTCTAAAAGAAAGGTTGAAAGGATAAAAAAGTTTTAAATGACAAGCATTTTAACAGGGACACAATGAAAATAACAGGTTAGAGAATATTACTGAAATGTTGGAGTCAACATTTGGGATTCTGATCACCCTCTTTCTGAAGAGCTATGGCAAATATGCGGAAGCAGAGAAAATAAGCTGTGTGAAAAATTGTTCTTGTCACTATTCTTGTCTTGGCTCAGCTGCTAAACCAAATAACAATCAGGAAATATTCCAGATTGGATTGATTTTTTTTTTGCGTCTTCTTGAGAAAAGTAAAACATGAATAAAATGTTGAATTTGTTCCATTTAACACAAAACATTTGCCTATAATTCACACACATACATATGACAAATGTCTACATTTGGCGAAAGATACTGGTGAGAAGGACTAGAAAACAGAGATTCCTAAAAGTAACTTATCCCATAGCTCAACAGCATAGGAGGTGAGCAGCTCAAAAGCAGTTTCCTGCTGTAGGCCAAAGGGTCTGAAGACACTTCGACACAGCAGCAAAAATGCCCACATCACTCCAGTGCTGACAGTAGCTTGATGTATTTCAGAAAGGTTTATAACAACTTCGTTCACAGAAACCAAGGAAAAGAATTACAACTTCACCTTTTCAGACTCTTTCTGATGATTACCATTAATTATATACTGAACTGAGTCCTTTATGAGCCCAACAGAGAAGGTATGTGATGTTACGCACTTTTGGGAGCATGAAAGAGAAAAGTTAAGAAAGAAAACATACTGCTGCAAGTCTTCTCATCAGCATTCAGAATGTATCCTTGTTTACATCTGCATATGTAGGAGCCAGGGGTGTTTATGCAGAAGTGATCACAGTGATGTTCAACTGTACTGCACATATGTGGCACTGAAAGAAGAAAACATAAAATGTTACTAACTGCTGGTCTTACCTACTTGTGGTCACAACTGAAAAAAAAAAGTGTAGAAAATTTTACTGAAATAATTTAGAAATTTAAAATTAAGTGCTGCCAGTAAAGACAAAAATGGAAGCTTAAGCCTATAAGAGTGTAAAAAAAAAACCCTTAACAAACAGTACTATATATCTATTCCTAAAAAAAGTAGGAATTCAGATATTTTCTGTCTGGTTGACATAGGTGGCATGTTTTTTGGACATGAAATTACATGTGAAATGGAGACATAAACAACATACAAATACACAACAGAGGATCAGGAAACACTAATTACTTGCTGGTCCCAAGAAAACAATGAAACAAACCTACCACATTCAAATTTAGAAAATAAGCGGAATTTAAGTACAAACTGTTCTAGAGGACATTCAATTTCTTGAATGAAGAAAATCAACACACAGCACAATACTAAAGAAGAATGACTAGAAAACAACTTGCAAAACACAGTACTAAGTAATCAAAAAAAGAAAAGAAAAAAGAAGCATTCAATGACAGGCATCCCAATAATTCAGTTCCTTCTGAGGACATACTGTTACCATCTGTTACCAATCTTCTGATACACTACTATACAAAATTTTTTCCCAAGTGTCTCTGTTGCACCCATTTCAAAGAATCATCAATCAGATTTCTGTGGTGAAGGAGGCTGCTGTCTGTATGATTTCTGCAAGTTCATTTGTTGCAGTAGGTGTTTGGTGGACACAGCCAGTGACTGAAGTAATAGAAAGGGTGATCTCATAGATAAGGAATTTGAATGTGAGCCTTGTGAATTACATCTTATCTCTGTCTATGTCACAGGGTCCTTATTTGATTTTGGGCAAACCAATAATATCAGTATCTTCAAGCAAGCATCAACCTTCACACTGTATGTGTTCAGCTAGAGACACCTGAATTTGGACTTGCAAGAATGCAGGCCTCTCTCGGCTGCAAGTGAAGGCTGTAGAGCTGTGACTGGTATGTTATACTTATGTCTAAAAATGTTAATTGCCCCAGAAAATCAGACCAGGAATTGCACTGAGTCAAATATTTAAAATTAGTGGGCTATCTTGACAGTCTTAAGACTGCTTCTGTGCCTCCGTTCCTCCAATGTAACATGGGGGTGACAGCACCATCTACTTTACAGGAGAATAATAAAGACTTTATTTGCTACTGAACGCTCCATCTCAACTTCTGTCTTTCTCACGCTTCTTTAATTCAGTCTCCACCTCCCTTCCTGGATTCTGTCCCCATTTCTGAGTTTTCAACTCTTGTCTCACTCCTCATGCCTCTGATTTCCCAGGATACTGTTTGATTCTATTTTACCTTGCTGATAAATAAATGGTAATAAAACTAGGCCCCTGGGACCCCTGGCTTCAACTGCTGTTTCTGACCCCCCAAATCTTTAGCAGCCATAGGGAAAGTCTGACTTAGCAGAGGATGAAGCACAGCCAGTTTACATCGACTCTTCTGAGAATATAGCTGCTAGGCACTGGGTAAAGAGTGGTTAGTTTGGTTTACTTTTTATTTTCCCCACAGAGCTTCATCACTTGGCCAGGTTTTTCTCTTATCTTCACAGGAACCATGAAGACACATTATCACAGACATAAGGGCAATCCAGACACAAGGACAGCTCAGGTGCCAAGGTGTTTTCCCATAGCATGAAGCCCATGCATGCCAGGAGACTTGACCAGAGGGGTGTCTTTAATTGCACTAGCAAAGAAACAAAGTGTCCAGATGTTGGACTCAGCTACAATGATACTGCCTCTGGGTCCACACTGGGGAGGACTTAAAAAAATTAACCAAATTTCCCGGGAGGAATGTAGGTGCTCTAGGAAGCAGAGGCTACGGATGCTTAGATTGCCATCTCGAAATTCAGCAAGCTGAACACTGCTTCACAGCCCAGACTTAACAAAATATTAAGGATCCTATCTGAAATTTAGTTCCTTAGTTGAAATTCGTAAGAAACTAACAGCTTAAATTCCCTGTTGCATCTGGGCCTGGGTTTTTAAGTGCGTTTTTGGATCTCACCTTCAATTCCTGACACAGCAAATGTTGTGAAGGCATTCCATGAGAAAAGGAGGCAGCAGCAATCCTTGTCACCTCCATACTCCTCCATCTGCAGGAGGTCTGGTTTTATCGAGGACCACATGTATTTGGTTTAAAAGTGAGCTATAAAACTCTAATACATTTACTGGACATCGCCTAGTCAGAAAAAAAAAATGAGTAAGTGGTATTTGTACTGGATTTCTTTCTAAAATGCAATTAAAATAATCCAGTAAGATGAAATTTTGAAGCATTTGCTGTTCATTCCATTTAAATTCTCAATCCATGTTTAGTTTACTTTTTCTTGGTTTTTAAATGCATCTTACTACTCCAGCTAATAATACAGCAAGGAAGAAACAGGAAAAAATCTATTAACTGATGAATGTCTGTGATGGTGTTTTGTGCTGATGCAGTTCAGCTGGAGCCCTGTTGCTCTTTGAAACAACTTTGGAAAAGACCAAGTAAGGAAAATTCTCCAGATTATCCTGACAATAAGCCTCAGTTCTTTTCTGGCAAAAGCATCCCTAGAGATGAGTGAGCATTCAGTCTCACCATGCACTCTTTTTCTGGACTCTGCTGAAAATGCCTCAGCTTCATGCCAAATCTGTATGAAGATCCTTCATATTTATCTCAGAAAAAAATAAAAAAGAAAATTATATTAAGTACACAGATTGGAATAAAATTAATCATGTATGTCACGATATTCATAAAAGGTAATTTTTTATCAGGGAATTACAGATGGAAGCAATTTCTCTGTTGTCAATTAATACCTATTAAAATATTATTTGCTTTATTGCATGAATGAATAATATCACTGTAATGGCTTTTCCTAAATTTCTGTATTTAAAATGGATGGAATGAAAACAACAGATGGATGTCTCTGTGTCTCGCTTCACAGAATCACAGAATCACAGAATGGTAGGGGTTGGAAGAGACCTTGAAAGAGCATCTAGTCCAACCCCCTGCTAAAGCAGGTTCACCTCGAGCAGGTTACACAGGACCACGTCCAGGCTGGTTTTGAGTATCTCCAGGGAAGGAGACTCCACAACCTCCCTGGGCAGCCTGTTCCTGTGCTCTGTCACCCTTAATGTAAAGAAGTTTTTCCTCATGTTGAGACAGAACTTCCTGTGCTCCAGTTTGTGCCTGTTGCCCCTTGTCTTGTCACCAAGCACCACTGAAAAGAGCCTGGCCCCATCCTCTTGATGCCCACCCTTTAGATATTTATAAGTGTTGATAAGGTCGCCTTTCAGTCCTCTCTTCTTCAGGCTTAAAAGCCCCAGATCCCTCAGCCTTTCCTCGTAGGAGATGCTCCAGTCCCCTCATCATCCTTGTGGCCCTCCTCTGGACTCTCTCCAGCAGTTCCCTGTCCCTCTTGAACTGGTTAACTCGTTGACCCAGAACTGGACACAATACTCCAGATGTGTCCTCACCAGGGCAGAGCAGAGGGGGAGAACCACCTCCCTCGACCTGCTGGCCACACTCTTCTTAATGCACCCCACGATACCATTGACATCTTGGCCACAAGGGCACATTGCTGGCTCATGTTGTCTACTTGTCTACCACAACTCCCAGGTCCTTCTCCTAGCAGCTAGAGCTGCTCTCTAGCATGTCGACCCCCAGTCTGTACTGGTGCACGGGGTTATTCCTGCCCAGATGCAGGACCCTACACTTGCTCTTATTGAACCTCACTAGGTTCCTCTCTGCCCAGCTCTCCAGCCTTCCAGTCACAAGGCATGCACAGAGATAATTGTTCACACAGAATTAATATGTAAGCTTTGAAAGAGGAATCCACGAACTCTGAAGAATTTTTTTAATAACCAAAAGACTGTTTATCAGTTTGAAGTTTCAATATCAGGGGAGATCACATTTAAAATCAATAGATGAAACTGGCTTTGGCTGGGATAGGGTTAATTTTCTTCCTAGTAGCTGGTACAGTGTTTAGGATTTAGTGTGAGAACAGTGATGATAACACAGTGATGTTTTAGTTGTTGCTGAGCAGCGCTTATCCTAAGTTAAGGACTTTTCAGTTTCCCATGCTCTGCCAGTGCAAAAGAAGCTGGGAGGGAGCATGGCCAGGACAGCTGACCCAAACTAGCCAAAGGGATATTCCATACCATAGGGCGTCATGTCCAGTATGTAAACTGGGGGTGAGTTGGCCGGGAGGGGCCGATCGCTGCTCAGGGACTGGCTGAGTATCAGTCAGCGGGTGGTGAACAATTGCATTGCACATCACTTGTCTTTCTTGGGTTTTCTTTCTCTCTCTTTTTGTTATCTGCCTTTCAATTGCCATTATTGTTATATTTTATTTCAATTATTAAACTGCTCTTATCTCAACCCTTGAGTTTTACTTCTTTTCCCCAGTTTTCCTCTCCATCCCACTGGGGTGGGTGGAAGTGAGAGAGCAGCTGCGTGCTGCTTAGTTGCTGGCTGGGGTTAAACCACGACAAACAACTTACCTAATATTCAAATAGCAGAGGGCTGTAAATTTATTGATATTATGCAATGAATAGGAAAATCATGATATGTGTGTTTGCCTTGCAGCTTATGACCACTAGGAATTAGATCACATTTTATGGCACTTAGCAGTAGAATTAGTTTTTCCCCATATGTATAACTGCTGTTCTGAATGTTGTCTAGCTAGTCTCTCTTTTTTAAAACATATATATTCTAATAGATAAGGTTTCCTGTAAAAAAAAAAGCTTAATTATAATGCCTATTTTTTTTTCCTGTGTTTTACTTTCACTTATGCATTCAAATCTATAGATAAAAACCTTACCACAAAGTTTAGTCTGGAAGGCAGAGGTAAGTGTTTCAATCTGACTGAAATTAGCAACCAGAAACACATGCTCTTCATGCGGTTCACTCCCAATGGACTTCAGCGTGTTCATATCTACTCTTCCCACACCAATGGCAAAAATCAGGATTCCTGAGTTACGTGCTTTAGTGGCAATCTCTGCCACTGGATCCTGAGGTCTCCCATCCGTCACTATCATGATAATTCGGGGCACATTCTCCTTCAGAGGTCGAGCTCCTTCTGACTCCGAAAATGCGATGTTCACTGCATACTGAATAGCCAGTCCAGTCATGGTGCCAGTTGCCAGGTGCATCATCCTCTTCACCGCTCTTTCAATATCCTGCTTCCTCTTGAATGTCTTCAGTGAAAACTCATGTTTGACAGTGCTGCCGTACTGAATCAGACCTACGCGGGTGGCTCCAGGACTGATGTCCAGAAACTGCAAGATGGTTAAAATGAACTCCTTCACTTTTTCAAAGTCGTAAGGACGTACACTGCGAGAGCTGTCAATGATGAAGACAAGGTCCAGACGTTTGTTGTTGCAAGTATTTTCTGGAAGGCAAAATGCATTTACAAGAATGTCACAATGAAATCAGTTCAGGTTGACCTGATGTCTCAAACATTCTGTCTAAACAAACACCCTGACAATTGCTAGGAAAATACAGGAAAAATAGGAGATGCCAGAACTAAGGCTACTTTGGCAATGTAAGTTCAGCCTCCAGTAAACAAAAGCTGACTGTTACATGAGCAGTATGTATATATTTCTTTTTTGTGAGATCAGTGCCCAGAATGGCTAACAACAGTGGAATGGGTAGGTACTTGTGCCAATCCCTGTTTTATTGTGGTGGAGATTTTGACCTCATACTGCATGCAGGATGGAAACCCCCTCTGAATTACATAGTTGCTATTTGAGTGGGCTGCACTGTGATGCTTTTTGCGGTAGTGCCTGGGAACTTAGAAATCCAGCACTCTAATGAGTCAGGATGGTATCAGTCCTCCACCACAAACAGAAAAAGAACACGAAGAAATCCAGGTCAAAAGCATCTGTTAATTGCAGTGAGCGATACGAGACGCAAAGGGACTGATTTTTCAGGGAACTTGGCATTAAGCAGCACTTTGCATGTACAAAGTACAGCTCTCAATGACGTCAACTGCAGCTGTGAGGGCTCAGCACTTCTGCAAATCAAACCCCATGATTTCAAACGCATAATTAACAGCCATCTGGGAAAAGTCTCGTCTATTGGACTAGCACAGCATCACACAGAAATTCTGTGGCTGCATCAGAGAGAACATCCTGTTGTCTACAGTGGCACTCAACTTGGCCAAAAGACCACTCATTCCTGAACTCTTCTATTTCACCCATTAGCAGTCTTTCTTTTTCCAAGAACCACTGAAGCAGAAATACGACAGGGTATGTCTATATCTGTCAATAGCACAGGCAGGTAGGCCAAGCTATCACAGATAACAGCAGAAGGGAAGGCTGGCTGTCTTCTGGGCAATCTACAAGCTTTCTGGGACCCTGGGTACATCTGGATCGGCATCCTTCTTTTTTGAAAGAATATGACACATATGCCTGAGTTGCCCAATGAGAATGGATAGAGTCTGACCATTCACAGAAAACCAGCACACAGCAGGCTTAAGGCAAGCAGGGGGAGGTGAGCCATGAGCCTTGCCACAGAAGGCAGCATATATGGCAAAAGATTAAAAGGACTTTAAAAAGGCTTAATGGGATGCTGGTGAAGAGAAATCAACTGAAGTTTAATATTTACACTAAAGATACCTCCAGATTAGGAAATCCCTGAGCCACAAAAGCATGGCAGTTGGGGGAATACCTGCAGGTAGAATTGTCTTGTCCTTAAACTTTATCCTATGCATCCACTTTTGACTGCTGTCAGAGATAGGACACGGGGTTAGATAGACCTATGGCTTCACTCAATGTTCTTAAATTCCTGTGGCTATGAATAAACCTGTGAGGTAGCTAGTTGCCTGTTCATCTACATGACCTGAAAGATTAAAGGAGGCAAGAATGCTCATCAAACTGCAGTGGCATCCTCATTTTACTAAGCTGAGATACCCCTAATCAGTAATCTCTCGTATTGCCCAACCCAATCCAATTCCCAGTGCACTCTCATTCATCTTATGCACTGAATGAGGCAAATGCTCAGTGGAAAAGTAGTATTTGACTGTACTGCTAAAGCTCATGTCATACTGTACAAGTACAAGTGGGCCAATCAAAGACATAACTGGAAAAATATCTGCCTGTAGACAAGCCTTTACATGAGTTCACTTGTGACTGCTGATGAATGCTAAGCATGCACTTCTGCCAAGGCAAGGGGTGAGAAAGATGCCTGTTTTCACTTGTTAACTCAGAGGCCTCTTTCATAGATTACCAAGAACATTTGTGGGCATAGAATACAAATGCTCTTTGATGACAAAAAATGACTGCCTGAATTTATTCATGTGCAGTCTACAGTATGGCTTTATTCACAAGTATAGGAATATGCTCGAGTTGCTTATTCTTTCCAAATCAGAGGATGTTGAATGCAAGCCAAATTGAGAAGAAACAAAATTCCAGTTCTAATGGGATACAGATATCCTGACATAAGTATTTTCCATCTTATTATCTTAGTGACATATCTAATTACTAATTATTATTACTAATGTAATATGAAATATTCCAGCACGGCTGTAATACAAAGATAACATTAAGATATGAATTATGGGAGCAGAGCAAGGGGAAAGAAAGAAAGATAATTACAGAAAAAAAGGCTAAGAATATGTGTGTGTATATGAGGGGAAGGACAGAGAAGGGAGAAGGGTAAAATGACTGCTATTTTACTTCTCTTAAAACAAGTCCAAACTAGAGCCATGGTGTCGAGCCCTTTTAATTTGAATATAAAGATTTGGATCCCAGTCTGAAGACACTCGGTTATCTATTTTGAAGTCAGGCATGAATCTTGGTGGGTGGGAAAAAACCTGGATAGCATTAGTGGATACTACTATGAGAAACACACCCCATTGTGATAAATTACTGGAGAAAAATCTATCAGCCTGAACGTAATACAATAAATTTCAAAACTACTTTCACTAGCAAAATTCTATATATAGAAATATCAAACATTTCCAAATCAAAATGTATTTAATATTTTTGTCTTCTGATTTGGTGGGAATTTTTAATAACCTTGCAATTCTTAAAGTTGATTTAGCTGAGACAGGCGCCGTGAAAAATCAGATGTAACTCTTTTACTATGCAAAACTCCAGGTGGGTGGTATTTTGAGGAGTGGCGATCAGTAATGACTAACAGATCTGAGCACTCATCCTCTCAGATAAGCTTTCAGTGATACCTTTTTAGTGGTTGCATGCTTTTGCATTTGCCCTGTAAACCATAACCTCTTCCTCTTACCAGCTCTCATTTTAAACAGGGAAGTTTATCATAGCTTTGGCAAACATCCTCATACCCAAAAGTAATTCCCTTCCACTCTTCTTATGAAAAGTGACATACTTATTGAAAAGAGCTACTCATCCATAAACCTGCTTCTAAGTCAGCAGAGGCTTGGTATTGCCAACACAAAAGTTAAAAAAAAACCTCGGTGTGAGTTGTATTACTCAAAGGCAAGGCCAGGAGAGGCAAGACAAGGACAGACAAGGCAAAGGAAGAAAAGGCCAAGTCAATAGTAAATATGTTCTCCTCCTCCACTCAATATCCATTTTGTCTGTAAATGACAGTTACAGTGATGCCTTAATGAAAGTTAACAGTGCAAGAAAATTTCAGTTCTACTTGGAAGAATCCAGCTGGGATCCAATTACCAAGAGACACATAAAACAATGCTTAAAAGAATATTTCATATTGAGCATCTTAACTTCCCCTAAGCTCAAAATTCTATTAAATTATTTTCTCTGATCCCTGCAGCTTTCCTTCTACTCCTTTCTCAAAGCAAATTATGCTCAGGCCTGAACTTTGGCTTTAACGAAGCTCACACTGCTTTGACTTTGCTCACCCACCCAGGGTGTCTGTCTGAGAGTGTGTTTGTACCCTCTCAGCTTATTTCTGATCAATGTTACACTGCCTTAATATAACTAAAGCAGCACCATGGAGTTTTCCTGGGCATTGGAATTGACTCTTGTAGGCTGCTAAATCATTAGAACAGTTCCTGGTATTGTTTGTCCTAGGACAATTAACATTTACTCAAACAATCCTCAGGCATGATATGGGAAGTAGTATGAGCCAGGGACCCATCCTAATAAGCAAAGTGGATGCAACCACTCTGTAAGCTCAAGGTATTTAGCAGTACAGAATCAGGCTGTTTTATACTGCTGGCCTCAGTGCCGGAGAGCAGCCTAAGATAGAGCTGGCCTGCATCCACAGTATTAAACTCACCTTCCCACTAAAATGGAGTGGCTGTATGCAAGCTGCCTACTGGGAACAATCCCTATACCCCTGTAGTCTCTGAATCACGCATGGGGATTGCTTGGGGAGTGCTAACCACTGTGGGCCAGAGACAGCTCCAGCAATTTAACAGCAACAATAACAGTGAAGTCCCAGTACCCAAGAATGTCCTCTGGCACTGTTTAATTTCTTCAAACATTTCCATTTTGGGATATTCAAAACGAACACATTCAAAGGACCCAAGTTTTAAATGGTGATTTTTCAAAAGTTTTTGCAAAAAAAGCTCTCTTGAAAAGATTGATTGTTTATAAATTAGATATTTATTTTCTATTGTTGTCCTACATCTTTATGGTGCCTTAATAAAAAATCTGGATATTGCTTATTTTGTTATGTAGGTCTTTATCCTAACACATGAGAATGGATAAATGTTAAAGAAGGCTATTGCTGTATGCAAAGCAAAAGAAGGTTAACTCAATTATGTAAATACTACAGCAAAGTTAAGACATTAAAAAAAGTAATTTATAACAAGTAAATATTAGTTCCATGAAGATGTTTGTTACAGACTAAGACAATTTAAGCGAAAAGGAATGATGAGATCAGTTAAAAAAAAAATGAGATCATGGAAAAATTACTGCCCGAGCAGGCAACACATTAACGGCAACTTTAAGACTCAATGTATTGTGTTTCTTAGCTCACTCTACAGTAATGTATATTCCAAAAATTACGTGTCCTGAAACACTGCCAGCAATAACACTAGGATTATTTTTAGTCTACCTTTAAGTAACAGAACAAAAGTCTTCACTCAGAATTAAATAAAAGAGAAGAAAACTACTCTCTCAGCTAGTACCTTATAAAACTTCTTCCTAAATTCCTCTTTCTTTGCCATTTTATTATTTCATTTTCCCTCTAGCCCTCACCTTTACTTGCCTCTCTTTTCTTTACAACTTCTTGCTTTATCAATCTCGATATAAATCCTACCAAATTTGTTTTAAAATGTGTGAACTTGCTGGGTGTCAAATATTTGTTCTTAAAGTCCAGAATTCTGGTTTTCCCTAGCTAAATATCCAGTCTGAAAGAACGGGTCTGTTATTTCCAAAAGATTTCTCAGTTCATCAAGGTTTAATCTTCTTGCCATACAATCATATAAGCAAACATTACTCAAAA